CTCAATATACTATGACGTTTTTTGGACTTTTTATGTCATACTATACTATGATGTTTTTTGGCATTTTGTATGCCTTACAATACTATTTAATTTTATACCTTACCATACTATGACGTTTTTATGACCTTTTATGCCTCAATATACCATAATGTTTTTTTGACTTTTTATGCCATACAATACTATGACGCTTTTTGGCATTTTGTATGCCTTACAATACTATTTGACTTGATGCCTTTCCACACTATGATGTTTTTTTGACTTTTTATGCCATACTATACAATGACGTTCTTTGACATTTTTATGCTATACTATTCTATGACGTTTTTTGGCATTTTTATGCCTTACTATACTATGTCAGTTCATTCTTTACCATACTATGACGTTTTAATGACCTTTTATGCCTTAATATATTATGATGTTTTTATGTCCTTTTATACTTTAATATACTACGTTGTTTTTATGACTTTTTATGCCTTATTATACTATGTCGTTTTCATGCCTTATTATAATATGACATATTTATGACTTTTTAGGCCTTACTATACTGTGACGTATTTATGACTTTTTATGCCTTACTATACTATGTTGTTTTTATGACATTTTTATGCCTATCTATACTATGACATATTTATGACTTTTTATTCCTTACTATACTATGACGTTTTTATGACTTTTTATGCCTTACTATACTATGACATTTTTATAACTTTTTATGCCTTAGTATACTATGACTTTTTTTTTTATATTATGACATTCTTTTCAAATTTTTAAGTCTCATTAAACAATTATATTTTTATGCCATTCTGAACTGTGACATGTTTTCTTTATATTTTTATACCTTAATATACTATGATGTTTTTATACCTTACTATGATGATTTTATGACTTTTTATGCCTATGTATACTATGAACTTTATGCTACAGTATAACGTGATATTTTTATCACATTTTTACGCCTTACCATAGTGTAACTTTTTTTCACATTTTTATGCCTCATTATACTATGACATTTTTATGCCGAACTATACTGAGACGTTTCTATACAGTTTCATGCCCTATCATACTATGACATTTTTTGACATTTTTATACCTTACTATACTTTGATGATTTTACACCTTATCATACCAGTACTATGATATTTTTTCAAATATTTATCCCTCACTTTACTATGACATTTTGATGCCTTACTATACTAAGATGTTCTTTTATATTTTTAAGTCTTATTTCACTATGACTTTTTAAAAAAAAAATTTGCCTCACAATACTATGACATTTTTTGATATCTTCAAGTCTTAATATACTATGAGTTGTTTTGATATCTTTAAGTCTCACTATAGTATGACATTTTTATGCCATACTGCATTATGTCATTTTTACATCATACTATGTGAAGGGATATGTTATGTTTGCAACTGTATGCATTGTATGATTAAAAAGGCAAATCAGCCTTAAACTGATGATTATAGTTGTTTATGAACATTGTGACACTGATTGCCGTTTGATATTGCAGAATGATGTACAGGGACAGACAAGAAAGTACAAGTATGACATGTTTAGATAACAGGTTCAGGTCAGAGTGGTGTGAAGAGAGAAGAGGCGGAGTGACCCTGTTACACAGAGAATGTGTGTATAAGAATGAATGACTGAAACAAGGTGGTACTGCACTCTGCTTAGACAGGCGAGAGGAGAGCAGTGTGAGTCCAGAGCTCTGTAAGCAATCTCAAACTTCTATGCTTGGCTATACTTGTAATAAATTAGACGTGTTAAACTTTAAATCTGTGTCCTGCATACTTCATCAAACGAACACGTGAGTCCGGTTTTGCTGTGAAATAATAGTGGACTCAACATATGCTTTTTCACTTTTTTATGCCTCACTATACTACAACATTTTTATTCCATTCCATAAATTACATTTGTATGTCATAATATATTATGTGGGATTTTTTACATTTTTATGCCTTACTATACTATTACGTTTTTTCAAATTTTTATGCCTTACTATCCTACCATATTATGACATTTTTATGTCATACTATACTATGACGCTTTTTCACATTTTATGCCTCACTATACTATAATATTTTTATGCCATACTATAAATTACATTTGTATGTCATAGTATAGTATGTTATTTTTTGACATCTTAATGCCCTCTTATACCATGACGTTTTTACATTTTTATGCCTTACTATACTATGACAATTTTACACCTCAACATATTATGATGTTTTTTCACTTTTTTATGCCTTAATATGCTATGACGTTTTTCACATTTTTATGCTTTAGTATACTATGATGTTTTTTGACATTTTTATGCTTTAATAATATGATGTTTTTTGACATTTTAAGCCTCATTATATCATTACATATTTATGCCTCACTATACTATGACATTTTTTTCACATTCTTATGCCTCACTACACTTCTACGTTTTGATGCCTTATGATACTTTGACATTTATGCCTTACTATACCATCACATTTTTATGCAATAGTATACTATGACCTTTTTAAACATTTGTATGCCTTACTATATTATGACTATTATAATAATTATTATTAACAATGAGCTAATGGACACATTACTGTCTATCTATTTATCTATATTTATGATGGTAAAGCATTAAAATGTCAAAAAAAAAACGTCATAGTATGGTAAGGCATAAAATTGTCATAGTGTGGCATGAAATTTGTTAAAAATGGTCATAATATAGTAAGGCATACAAATGTTTAAAAAGGTCATAATATAGTAAGGCATAAAAATGTCAATAAACATCATACTATAGTAAGGTATAAAAATGTCATAGTATAGTATGGCATAGAAATGTGAAAAAACATTGTATCGTAAGGCATAAAAATGTTAAAAAACATGATACTATTGTAAGGTATAAAAATGTCATAGTATAGTAGGGCATAAAAACGTCAAAAAACATCATAGTATAATAAGGCATGTATAGTTAATAATAATAAATAAGCAATAGTATTTAAATTAGTCCACTTCCTATGGCTGAGTTTTTGTGTAGTCTGATAGCAGTGGGAACAAAGGATCTCCTGAGCCTTTCCGTTCAGCAGAGCAGTGAGATGAGACGTTTACTGCTGTAGCTACTTCTTGGTCCTGCCAGAATGTTGTGGAGAGGATGGTTGGTATTGTCCAAGATGGCCTCCATCTTACATTGCATGCATCTCTCCATAACAGTCCTGAGTGAGTCCAGACTCCTGCCAAGCATAGACCCAGCCTTTTTGACAAGCTTGTGCAGTCTCCTTGTGTTTATGTTGGACATGCTGCTGCCCCAGCAGACTGCAGCATAAAAAAGTACACTGGACCACCACTGACTGATAAATTGTGTATCTTTTCATTGTAGATGTCAATGGACCTCAGCCTCCTGAGGAAAAAGAGACGGTTCTGCCTCTCCTGGTAGATGGCATCCATGTTCAGGGACCAGTTCAGTTTACTGTCCAGGTGAACAACTAGGTATTTATAAGTTTGCATCACCACAATGTCCTTCCCTTGAAAGTTGCCTGGCTGAAGGGTGGGCCTAGACCTCAGAAAGTAGTTGACAATCTCCTTGGTATTGGAGGTGTTCAGGATGCAGTTCTTGTCGCTCCATTCACTGAAGGCCATCGTCAGATCCCTGTACTCCTCTTCCTGCCCGTTCTTGATGACATTTTTTCACATTTTTACGCCATACTGTCTATGATGTTTTTTGACATTTTATGCCCTATTATACTATGACGTTTTTTTAATGTTTTTATGCCTTATTATGACTTTTTATGCCTTACTTTAGTATGACGTTTTTATGCTTTCCTATACTATGACATTTTTATGCCTTCCTATACTATGACTTTTGCTGCCACATATAATATTCATAGTAAAATGCAACTTTATTAAAACAACATATAATTAAACATACATCTATCTTTTATATTTACATATATAATAAAACATATACTGACAGGCTTTGGGATTGATATACATATTTACATTACATTTGCATATGGACATTTCTGAATGTAAATTCAGATATATGTTTAAAAAAAACTGTTTCACGGCTTTAAATAGTCAATCTCTGTTTTGGAGGGGTGGCGGTGTTGTTGCATCCCTACCAATGTTGAGACCAAGCCTATGCCCTTGGATCAGAGTAATATCAACAGTGTATGAATGCAGTTTAGTATTGTGGTAATGTACGAAAAATATGGATGGAATACACTAGAAAAAACATCTTATTCACTTCCAAACACAGTGCATTAGTGTTTCTACTGAGCACTTCCACTTGGTCAATGTTGAACACAGGTGAAATCTGAGTTGTGAATTGGCCGGAGACAACTGGAGATGTATGCTTGAATTAGTCTGCAAATATCTGCATACCTGAGAGGTAAAACAACAATACACACAAGAGCATCAAAAGTTCTATTCTGCCACTGAGAATAGTCCTGCACAAATGCATTATTACTGTTGTCTGAGTAATGTTTGCTTAAAATTTCTTTAAACTACTGTTAAAGAAAATTAAACTACATACGTATGGCTGGGTAGGGAGACTTTAAGAGATTGAGTAACACATTGTTGGTTTTGGAGTCTTCAAGGGGTTTGACAATGGTAAGAACTATAGATCAACACCAGACTTATTCTTTACCTCTAAATATGATTATTTTATAATGAATGTTCTAAATGACTATTTAATTGAGTAAACTGGGAACCATAATTTAGACCTTTCAGGAAAATGCTATTTTAAGTGTTACACTGAGACCAAAACATCCTAATTGACCCTTTTTCACAAAAAAATCTGAGTTCCTGTGTAAGAGGTGCTACGAAAATTTGAAAAATGCAAGCCACAGGTTATTTTTCTTTTCCAGAATTAAAGTTCTAAGGTACAGGCTATCAAGGCCTTTGTGGCAAATTTACAATTTTGGACCATATAAGTAAAATTGACTTGATCATGAACACAAAATCCTACTAATAATAACAATAATAATTATGAACACAAACAACAGATAAGTATATCTTTAATAATGAACATGAGCAAATCTAAGAATGTGATAGTGACCTCCAATACAATGGATATTTAATTCAGGGGTGACTTAAAAGTTTTTTTTTCTTTTTTTTTTTTGCATAAACTTTCTATATTCCAATACCGTTATATAACTCTGATTGCTCCACAGTCATACTCCCTCTCTTTTCTTTCACTCCAGCATACACACACATACACACAATACAGCAAGCAATTTAAAAAAAGTCACAAACATATACCATATAGGCTAGTCTCTGGGTGTTCATACACTTGACAATAAATCAGTTAAGTATAATGCTACAGTTAAACATTTTGAGGCGATCTCAGTTAGAAATGCCGATACATTAAAGCTTACATTTTCTGAGGATGATGTGAATAGGTTATAGCAATGAAAATGATGAAAATGCCAAGATTATAATGATGTTAGGAAAGAACAAGAAACAAAAAAAATCAAAGTGACAGGCCTGGCTTTGAGTTTTAAAAGCAGTACATGCTACATTTCCTTCAGAATTTCATAAACAGATACTGCTGTTGGAACAGCAGGGAACAGAGGGAAATAAAAGTCACTGTAACAGGGAATAGACAGAAAGCAACAATTTTGTATTGATAAAAACCTGAACTCATACAGTATATTTATATTTCCATCCTTTAAATAAGAAAGAGAGGGACCACCTTTAAGAGCGTTTGTTCTCTCGACATCTTTTCCCTGAATCTCTGGCTAAAAATTTTGAGGTACAGTACTGGGAAAAAAAAAATTAAAAAAAATAAAAACAAATGTCATACATTACACTACTGCTGAAAATAAATGTTAAGGCTCCACTCTGGAGAGAAAGAAAATTCCAAATTTTCTCCATCTTAATGTTCAATTTAAATCAGTTTTAAGCCAGGTGATACATTATTCAAAATATTTTTCTAACATTTATGCTTTCTAATGTCACAACCTTGCACGATTATGTCTATGCATACAGAAACTTTCAGTGTACACATTCCTCCACCAAAGTAATACACCCCTCACATGAAAAAAGGGGGAATCATAGAAGTTCTTTTTTTTCTTCTGATAATATAAAATACAACTGGCCACACACAGATAGCAGACATTTGTCAATAAAGTGTTGTTCACTCGTTAAGATTAACCAATACAAGCACTTAACATTTCTCCAACACACAAACCACAAAGTGAACAGTCACTGAATATCAGCAGCATGTTGTCAAGAGATTTTCAAAACAGACGTGCAGATATTTATATTTAGTTAAGAATGCAAGTTCTGGGGTAGCGATAGAGATTTATAAGGCTAAAAAATACAGAAAAAACAAGAAAAATATATATTATTGAAGCGATTCAACTGATGGAACTAGCTTCATCCCTGCACTCATCTTAAAGACTGGGAACCAGGAGCGATGTGGCTCAAAAGTTTGAAATGGGCCAAAGTCAACAAAATTAAATAGAAAAAAATATTAGTTTTCAATTTCTTTATGTCCGTGTTTTCCTTTTAAATCTAAATTTCAGTATGTCCATCCGAGCACAACCGCTTTCAGAAGCCGTCTTCTTCTGTTTATTTCTGACGATCCTATATGGAGAGGAAAGAAAAAACAAGAAATTATCAGATACAATCAATCAATATCACATGAGACACCTGTAATATTACTGGGCAACACTGTGATCATGTGAGTCAATTACAAGAGTCACATTTTCTAACACCTTAAGTAGTGATGGATGATTCAATGTTATCATTGACTTTCATTTGAATATATTTTGATATTGTTTTACAAAACCACTGACAAAACCACTGACTAAATGAGATTCTAAAGTTCTTTGACACACATTAAATATTTTGTCTGGTGTAATGCAAAACAGTTAATTGCATTAAACATCAATTTCATGATTTTAGGTGTGGGTTTGTTCACATTTGTCAAACCATCCCAAACTTCATACCTTGATGTCACTATCATTAAATATTCATATTAATAATTTCAATTCAGCTGTCACAGCCAGCCCTACCCTACAGAGGCATTACCTGATCAATCCGGGATCGGCTCTGTATTGAGGTGGGCTCATAGCCCTGTTAAAAGAAAATATGAAAAGCCTTATTCAAAAGTCACATTAAGAACACAAATCTCATCACTTTAAATTTAAATATTTCATCAGCAAACTCCCCACTCATTTCAAATAATTTCAAATGACCAACACATACAAAAATTTAAAAAGAATGAAAACCAGCTTATATATAAGGGACTGTATGAATATTATTATTAGGTGGGTGGGGGGCTGTTTTTGTTGATGGGAGAGTAGAGTGTTTCATTTCCACTTCCTTTTTTGAGATTACATAAAAAAGATCAAATGGCTTTCATGTGTGCTCACAATCAAACAAGCAGGTAGAACAACTCGAAACCACACCATGCTAGGTGGTTCAGAATTATGTTATTATGTGGTTTGATTATGACAGTTCAATTTTAATGTAATTCAAATTCATCTTTATCATTTGAAATCTGGGGTCATGTGAAAACATATTTCTCAGTTGACCATCTGCAGCCTCATTTATCATAAATGTTTGTCATAAATTTGGAAATTGCTCGTTTTATTTCTAATGAGCAAATTGGTGGTGCATAGTGTGAAAAGTAATACTCTATTAAGATATCACGTTTAAATTGAGCTATGTAATCCTAAATTATAAAAGGAATTCACTACCAGTTCATTTTAAAATGAGGGAGGGCATTGCATTTCTTAAACAGGTGAGACACCCTAATAACTTTCATACAGTCCCTAAATGACTTATTTTTTCTAACTCAAAAGTGACGTGTTAAGTCTCAAAGAAATGACTACCTTTTTCACCACCTCCTCTTCCTCCTGCTTCTTCTCATAGTGGGAAAAGTCATCAAAGATAGAGGTGGTGTGTTTATACTGGGCAATGATCTTGAGCACCTGCTTCGCCTTCTCCAGAGGAACCTCTTGAGTGTCACGTGAGTTGGTGACTGGCTTGTTGTCATTGTTTTCCAGGCGAATATGGCGCAGCTGGCTATTAGGCACGTCCTTAACAAACAACCAGTTCACATCAAATTTGCCCTTCCACTTGTCCTGTGCCCAAACACCAGCACTGGTGCCATAGTCCACAGGTGAGCGCATCTCCGCCACACCGCAGAAATGGCCGCTGCCGTTGACACTGAACAACAAGTAGACGGGACCTTTAGAGTTCATAGCTCTGTAGGCTGAGTCCAAGCGTTTGTTGCCATGCTCCGTGCTGCACCAGATGGAGTACTTGATGGAGCGGTGGATGTCATCCTCAGAGTAGCTCTTGATGATGAACACGCGGCCGTTCTTCAGGTTCCAGTCAAATTCCTTGGGGTTGTAGCTGTGGGCCGCTCGCAGCTTCTCCAGCACAGGGTGGGACTCTGATCCTGGCTCTGGAGCCAAACCCCCACCCCCTCCACCTCCGTTACCAACACAACCACCATTAGAAGAACCACTGCTGTCCAAGCTTCCACCACCATAGCACAAGTTGCGGCTGCGTGGGGCTACCCAGCGGGTCTGAGGTGTTGGAGCGGAGTTGTGGTTCTGGTAAGACTGCGGGGGAGGTGGAGGACCCTGCATGGTCATCTGCTGCACAAGGGACTGGGCAGACTGTAGGGACTGTTGAAGGGGAGGTAAGAGACTGGGAGCATGGGAGTGAAGCTGTGGCTGGTGTTGTTGGTGGTGGTGGTGGTGGTGGTGGTGGGGGGGCAAAGGAGGGGCCATCTTGGTAGCAGTTCCTTTATTATCCCATGTATCAATGTCCATGTTGTGTTTAATGGGGGGTGGAGGTAAGGCTCCTCCAGCTATGGGTGTACCAGGCTTATTCTTGGTCTTTTGTTGCTGCAGCTTGGCAGGTTTACTTGCAATAGCAGCCCACGATGTAGGTTTTGGAGGTGGCATTCCAATTGGTGTGCCGCCGTTGCCCGTGGCAACTGCTGCAGCTACGCTGCCACCTCCACCGATCACAGAGCCTGCACTCTTCACACCCGAGCCACTTCCTGTCACATCCCCACCTATTTTTAAGCCCAGCATGCCCTGCTCTAGGCTGTTGATACCTGGAGCCTTGCTCAGGGTGTCACTATGGAACCCCGTCTGGCCATCAGGGACTAAGGTGCCTCCTAGAGAGCTGGGTGGGTAGCTGTAACTCCCCCCATAGGCTGAACTCTGAGTCTGCTGGCCCTGAGAACCACTGGTGCCCCAAGCAGAGAAGGCTGGGTTCTCTGGGAAAAAGTTAAACCTGTGAGGATAGATGCTGCTGCTGAGCCCACCTGGCTGCCCAAACACTGTGTCGTGCATGAAGTGATGGTCTCCATTGCTGAGGGGGGCATAGGGTGTCAGGTAGGGAATTGGTGGGTCACCTCCTGTAGACCAAGGAGCCTCACTGAGAGGGTAAGGAAATCCTATGGAGGGGGCATAGTAGCTGGACAAGTAAGGATCTGTCATGGACTGATAGCTGTTATTCTACAAACAGAAATAGGATAGAGATTATTTGTTAGGGCAAGAGAATGCAGTAAAATAGATATTAAATTATTCAAATTCAGAGGTGTTTCCCACCTGATTGGACTGGCCGGTGAGATAGGGCTCAAAGTCATTGTCATGGACTGTATCCTTCTGGTGGAGGGAGCCATTCTGCACTGAAACTGGAAAGGCTGCAATAAAATCAAATTCATGTCAAAGCTTTTAATCAGAATTTAAAAATAGTTTTAACAACCTAATGATGCAAAGTGTATTATGAAGGCTAGAATAACTGCAATCTACAGTGTATAATGTTAGTACAGTAGTAGAGATTTCACATGATATCACCTGATTCAGAACGCAGTTAACAGTGATGCAAACTGAACACCAGGATATGCTGCCTGGAAATATGCAAATAACAGGTCTTCTGCACCAGGATTTACAGACATTTCAACAGCACCAACACTTATACAGCAGACTAAACCAAGTCAGGGAATTAAAAAACAAGAAATGTATGGGCGGTCAACATGAATGATGTACAGTGTTATGTAGAGATTTCAAATAGATTATCCTGTCCAATGCTGAGTGGTGGTCTGCTGGATTAATGTAACCTTTAGAAGGGTTGACCTTTTCAAATGTGCAAGGTGTTTTCAATTGATAAGCTGCTGTCCCTTACAATGATGTTTGTTTGGTAATCGCATACAGCTACAAAACAAACATGGATCACAATACATAATGATGCAAAAACATTGTTTAACACTTTGTAAATATTTTTGGAGTATCTCTAAATTTTGTAGATGTTTAGATTCCTATCAATCACACAATACCATCAATCACTTCTGATCAGTCCCAAATTCATTCTGTAGTATGACAATGACCCCAAACATTCATATCTTCAGAGACAAGAAGGACCCTGATCTCAACATCACAAAGTCAGTCTGGGATTGCATGAAGAGTCAGAAGACACTGAGACAGACTAAATCCACTGAAGAACTGTGGCAAATTGTCCAGGACACTTGGAACAACCTACCTGCTAAATACGATGAAAAACGGTGCACAAGTGTGCAAAGGACATTTACGTTTCTTCTGCTTACTGCACCTTGGTGGCATTATTTTATAAAGCATCTTCACTTTGGTGTTAGTGCCTAAAACATCTGCACAGAACTGTATGAGGTATCTGTTGACAAATATATACTATGCTACATATAAACTGGATTATGTGAAACATCTTTAGATAAACGAATATCTGGAGGTACATTGAACATGTATGTCTTACCTTTGCTTGCATCTTGTCCTTTCGATGTCTTAGTGGTCATATTGAAAGGAGGAATGCATGCGAAAGGAGGAAAAAAACAAAAAAGCCTTGCATGGGTCACGGATGTTATACAAAGCAACACACATTATCTTGAGATGCATTCAGACCATTCATCTGAAAACCAGACTGACACAAGAAAAGCCATCAGCGTCGAGCGGTGTGCTATGTTATGGCAACGTCTGGCAGTCAGATACCCACTGGAAGCTGTGGTCCAGGCCTTCGTTATTTACCAGTTTTCCAGCTAACCTCATCTTTCAGCTGGCTAACTAGCTGACTAGCTGGCAGTGGAGGCATCGTCCTCAGAGTGGGGTGCACACACCGCACATCTTGGCTCCCTGTGGAAAATAAAAACCTGAAGCTGAGCGTGTGCCCTCGCTGCTTACCTGAGGGTCGATACTCGCGGCAGACATCATTCATCCACCAGGTGTTGTGTTAAGCCCTGACAAGACGTTCAGTGTGTCCGCCGTGTGTAAGGCTAATAGCAGGAGAAGCTGCTCCGCGTTACTTTGCTAACAGTTAAACACAGTTAGCAGCAGCCGTTGGCCGGTGTCTCTGCTCGGAGCGGACAGTTTGCTTGTCGTAGCCCTGCTGGCACTCCGTGCTGTCCTGTCGACATTAATCCAGCGGGGCTTCAATCCGCTCCGACCCCCCCTCACCGTTAAATTAAAATCCGACCAGCCTCGGTGGCCCTGCTCACTTGCCCCAATGGCAGCTTCATCCGGGGTCTGGGGAGCGGAAGTGACGTCAGTGACGTAAACGACGCGTCCCCCGCTACCTAGCAGCAGATCGGTACGTTGCGTTGTGCCCATGGACTGTATATAAAATACACGATACTGTATCCAGTTGCTAGGAAATGAATCGGCAACTACTTTGATTTATCGTGTTAGGTTGTTTTTAAAGTGAAAATGTCGAACATGCCACAGTTCCAGGTTGACATTTGTGAGGATTTGTTGCTTTTTATGTCTTGTGTGACATATTTATATTTTGGACATTTTTCATTTTATGATATTTCATCTGAAATAATTTGTTGTGCCATGCTACATTAACTTTACTATAAATACTCTGTTTTCTAATTTAGCCTATTGACCTACTGAAATGTAAATTTTCAGTGCACGAATCAAAATCAAATGAAATCAAACTGGCCGACTTCAACAACTTTAAGCTCTTGTAGCTAAATTATTTGGCCTGGATCCGACCCGGAGCCATCATAAGATCTGGGCCAGATCGGCACAACAGACCTGGGCCTGTGTCTTTTGACACAACGGGCCAATACCGGTGTGGATCCATTTTTTGAATCTGGCCCAGATCTGTACTGGATCTGGGCCGATTGCCAGAAACTGCTCAGTTGATTAATCATTTAAGTCATTTTTGAAAGCCCAAACACCCAGTATTGTCTGAATATCTGAGTATTTTTAGGTTCTGACTGTAGGTCTAACGAAATAAGATATTTCAAACCGTCACATGGGACACTTTTCACTACTTTCTGACACATAGATGAAGCAGTTAGCTAATTGATTAATTAAGAAAAGAAAAGGCATATTAGACGAATATAATTGTTAGTTGCAAATATAAACACAATCGGACTTCAGTATATAAACAAGAATTAAGTGCACACATCTGGAATAGGCCTAATAAAGATATTAAAAAAATCACTCATGGTTTGAAATGAAAAGAATGAAATTTTGTTGGTAGGCCAATTGTTAAACAAAAATGCTGCATAACTGTCATGCCCAGACCAAACTAATAGGCCTATGCTATTATTTTTGTTCCCACTGTTTCTCTTCAATTCTGTCATCTCTTAGAGACTAACATTGTTAGTTCTATGCACATTTTTATTGGAAATATTGGTATTTGGAACAAGCACTAATAGACACATAAAAAAGGTTTTGAACTATGGTACATTTGCTGCAGCAAAAATCGTTTTCTCTTCTCTTCTGGGTGATATACATTGTAAATAGGCTTGTTGCATCCAACATAAATACTGCAGTAGAATGCCACCACACTCATCCTTTAAAGATAAAAAAAATGTGTGCAGCACTCCAATACCAGCTGTATTGTAGATGTGGTTTATTTCACTGAATTATATCATACACTCCAGAAATTCAGATGTTCACTTTCTAACTGGAATGACACATATGAATAATTTATACATTTTACAAAACAGCAGAAAGAAACTTATCCTTATTTACAGAGTTCAAATCACACTTTTATATAGTGACAAGATATTTGTACTTGAGTGCTTAATATCCAGTGATTTCCATCTCTCACTCACTCACTCACTCACTCACTCACTCACTCACACCTTACACAAGTGATTTCCATCTCTCACTCACACACACACACACACACACACACACACACACACACACAGGTAGACTTTGATTTATATTTACAGCACTTGAGGCCTGAGGAAAAATACATTATAAATACGACTACGCATTTTCTACAGTGATATACTGGTAGTTCCCTTCTTGACAGCACAGTGAGGTTCAGCATCTGGGACAGATGTTTGACAGGCAACCAGGATGACAGCTTTGAGAGTTCAGAGTTGTTCCATCTTCTGCCTGGCTCCTTCTCAGCTTTTCCCAAACACTTTCTTTCTGTGGTTATTTATAATCTGAACCAAATTATAGAAACATATAAAATATTGGACAAAAAAGACGATGAAACAGTCATAAATAGATTGGGGGGCAAACAAGAGGGATTGGGATACCTACCCATCAAGTCTTTACACTAGAAGAACACAGAGGGTTTGGATGGATGATGAAATTCACCAATGAAATTAACTACAATAAATAGGAATAGAAGAACATAAATGAATGATAAACAAACACAAATCAACCCCGCAAATGTAAAGGCAACTCAAAAATGGAAAAGGCAGGAATACAATACTAATGCTTCCTGATCATGGATTATTATGAATTAAATTATACATTGTATGTAAAAGAATATATATTTGTCAAATTAAAGATATCTGTGGTTTCATGTTTTCTTTGCTGTGTGTGGATGTCATTGATCAGGAGCTACTTACAGCTGTCTTCCTCATCTGAAAAAGTGCTGACGACATAGCAGGCATAGACAAATCCAAGGAGCTGTGGAAATTAATAGAAAAATGCATAAAAATTAATTATGAGCAATGAAAAGTGTGAAGTTTTTACATTTTCTAAAAGCATGCTCTTCATTGCAAAGCATAATTTATTGAAAGATTCTCTTGATAGGCTTTATTGGCATTTTGACTCATCACACAGGAAAGGCACAGGTGTCAATAATAAGTAATTAAAGCAAAGAAAACAAATAAATCAATGATAAATAACCCGTGTTTCTTCTATGACAAGTCAAAATATCTACTGTAAAAAAGGCCAGTTGTGTCCTCAGATGTATAGAGCTCCTATATGCACTGGGAGAAATTCTCAAAAGTACATTGATTTAAAAAAAAAAATAAAACACTCAGTGCTTTAATTAAGCAAGTAACAGCAGAGCAAAGTCACTACACGAGGTTAGTCTCATGGGAGATTCATGGTGAATGGCACAAAAAACTAATGTTTGTCATCTGATGAGTACTGAGTCAACAGTGTCACAACCATGAACAAACTCTTTCTCAAATGTTAACTAGAATTACTAACCCCAACCTTGAAACAAGACAGGTCAAAATGGCTGGACCAGGTATGATCAATATGCAATGTAGTTGAGAAGTGTTGTGGAACCACTGTAAACAACTGACTGTATCTTATTTGCATTCTGCCTAGTGTCAGCCAGGTTCTGCCCTTTATCTGTTTGCTTCTCTCCTACTCTCTGTGCTCACATATACAGTATTTTATTACAGCCAAATTCCCAATACAGCTGTTTACATTTACATATTTTTATGTTCCTGGTGTTAGTAAATGGAATAATATGAATTAGTGACTGAAACACAGTCCATTAAGACTACATATTAACCAGCAGTCACTTCCATGCTGCTGCTCTTTACTGCTAAATTCCTGATTTTATAACTGTGTCGTCTGACAACTGCTGCTCAGCCTCTGTGCTGATCACTGAACAGAGTGGACGTGAGAGAGGGCAGTTGTGCTGACTCTCTTCAAAATAGCTGATAGATACAGATTTTCTAGTTTAGTCTCTAAATCTAGTGACAAATGCAGTAGGTTGTTAACACTGCAGGCTCTAAACACCCCCCTGATAGAAATGTGTCAATTTATTTTGAAAGAGCAACCGCCAATGGGGAAACTACAACTCAATCACGTGGCATTCAGCTGACCAATCGTGGAACTATTATAACTCCATCACTTACTTAGTCAGTTACAGACATTTGCAATTATAGGCCTGGCTCTGCTGTTGCAGTCTACAAATGTTGCGGAAACAAGGGCTGTCACCTTTTGCTGCTTTTTAAATATAAATCAACAGTTTTTCTGCTTTCATTAAATTTTCAAAAACCTTAGCTAATAGCTACAAGGTTTTTTTAGATTTTAGATTTTTCAAGCAAAAAATGTGAAAAAATATCATATATTTGCAGATTTCATTCTCAAACGAGAAGACTTGCTACTTTCCTCTGTCATATATCAGTCCAATCTGAATATTTAGGGTCTTTTGGTCAAACAAAACAAGACATATGAAGATGTCACCTCAGATGTCAGCTCAGTTAAATTTTTGGACAGTTTCTAGAGTAAACAATTAACTGAAGAAATAATCTGCACATTAATCATTAATGACAGTAACTGTTAATTGCAGCCCTTATGTCAATAAATGAAATGTATCCATGATGCAGAAGCTGAAGGCGTAGCTGAGAAGCTCTGCACACTAACTAGATATCAGTCTGGTAATTTGATGCCATTCTTAAATGTTTTGGTCTGTGTTTTCCAATTTACATTTGCTGTTGCTATGCAACAGTTTATTCCTATGTGTGCAGATGCATATTTATTGATATTAAAAGACTTTTAAATGGTAAGTAAATATGCTCTTCAGATTACGTTTTAAAAGCATCATGGAGTAATTCTGTTGAAATTTTGACTTGTCTAATGTTACCGAATGTAAACAGTGATATCACACAACACTACTGTGATGAAAGAGTCACTTAGGCAGAGACTCACTGATACGAGGAGCTGGGCGATGCAGTGCAGGACTTCTATGTACTGGTATTCCAGCCAGCAGCTCAGCACTGTGGTCAGCTCAGGGTTTTGCTGGTTGTGCCACCCAGCAGAGGGAAGACCCTCGCTCTCACACCCTGGCCCGTTGTCTTTCCACCAGGAGCGATGTGACGACACTCCAAGAGAGAGAATATCACTGTCCTGCAGTGACAAAACAGACCAAAGAGGTGTGAAGGCAACCTTTCAGCTCCCAGGTTCTTACAGATAGAGTTTCTGTTTCATTAGACTGGGTGCAGGAGGGAGTATAAGAAAGATGGGGAATGGATTTAACATGCAGCAAGGATTGGACTTTAAACATGATATAGTTTGATAAGTGTATTTTCATTATATATTGAGCCTGCCATTGATTTGTTCATTGTTCATTTGTTCAAGTAATTTTGTGTGTAAAATGTCAACAACATTGTCACATTCACATCAGAAGCCCAAAGATGTTTTAAAACTACTTCCTCAGTCCGAGCATCACTGAAAAAGAATCTTAAATTACATATATATTCTATGGACTTTTGCTTCAGGCTGGTAGCACCCTCAAAGATTTCGAGAGATTAAATATAATATATAATGTGTCTCCCTTTGTTTTGATTAATTTACAGCCTCATGGTAGAAAACATTATATTTCTGGAGCCAAATACCAGTAAATGTTTAGTATTCTTACTTGATTAATAACTAATCTCATAACCAATGTATTATTCTAACACCTTCATTACAAACAATAAAGACCAGAAAATGACAGTTCCGTATGTTTCAGTGTAGACAGGGGACATACACAGTTGCCACTACATGAAACAAAATATTTTTTAACTGAGAACAGAAACACACTGTACAGGCTGAGTATCATGTGTCTGTGATTGGAGGTATGGGCTTGAGACATCGAAAGAGCTGAACACAGTATTTAGGACCTGTAGCTGTGTGGCTCTCTAATTATGCAACACTTAAGTGACCATTAGACTTACCTTTGAAAGCCCCCCCAAATCCAAGTAGAGACAGCTCACAAAGACATTCCAGCCAACCCACAACAACATCCACAGCAGGTACTGAGCAAACAAAGAGACAACATGATGGTGAAAATGAATTAAACTAACAACTCTTCAACGTTGTGTAGCATATGGATCCTCTCTTTTCTTACAAATGCCCTAATCTTAATTCACAGGTCCCCAAGATAAACCTGGGGTGTCACAATATGATCAAAGACAGAGAAAAAAAAAAACAAATATTTCTATTACACAAAATACTTTTTTAAAAAGAAACCTTTATCTAAATGTTTCTTGTTTCCTAGGAAATACTGGATACCACCTGAGGTCTTCATAAATCCTTCCAATGAAACAATCTGCATACTGCCACTTATATTATCATTATTATAAGGTGTTGATATAATAATGATTGTTATTGATATTATTGTTTTTTTTTCTTTCTTTATGTAGTATAACTCAGCTCTCAAATTATCATGTCACACAAAGCCCACATGCACATCAAAACACACCTTAATGCAAGCAGACACATACAAACACATCTCAAATACTTGAAATGCACCACTTCACTTTCTTGCTGATAGTTAAATGAGAAGATTGATACCACTCTCATGTTTGTACCATTAAAATGTAGCTAAAGCCAAAAGCCAGTTAGCTTAGCTAAGCTCTACTACATTTATTTGCCAACTATGGTTACTGGTTTATTTTTTACCTCTGCCAAGGATGTTACGTTTACATCCATGTCCGTTGGTTTATTTGTTTGTTTGTCAGCAGGATTATGCAAAAAGTATTGAACAGATTTGCAACACACTCGGTGGAGGGATGGGGTACGGGTCAGGGAAGAGCCCATTAAAATCAGTTATCTGTGACCTCTTATGAAAAGTCAGCATCTAATTGGAGCTCCTTGTCATGTTTCAGTTGTTTATGAGTGGTTAGAGTGGCAACTTAAAGAGGTAAATCCATCCAATACTTCACAACAAAAGTAAAGATTAGATTAGTCAAAAAATTTGTGAAGAAGAACTTGTTTCTTCTTCCCTTCAGAGGAGGCCCCAACTCCTAGTTTGTGAACCACTGGACTAAACTATCAAACTGTATATAAAGTAGTTAAAAGTATCTCCATCATGAGCAGCTAGAACAGTCAAATGCTGCTTCTACACTGATGCATCAGTATTAACACTCATGTATAATAATACAGCAATCACAGGGGCCATTTTACTGCAGAACAAATGCTTTTACTTTTAAAATTTCTAAGACATTTTGCTGATAATACAAAAGATCTTTAAATCACACACTTTCCTTACCATAATGATGTAGCGTGATCTGTACTGGATGACACCAAACAGGCCCAGGATGACCGTGATGATGTGAAAGAAGTTGATCATGATGGGAGCCCACTGGTAGCCGAGGAAGTCAAACACCTGCCTCTCCAGAGCAGTTATCTGGAGGATCAAAAGGAGTAGAAGCAGAGTTTAAATGATGAGTTATAAATACACCAGTCTGTGTCCTGTGCTGCTTTGGCTTGTTACTGATCTTTTTCTTGTGCATTACCAAAAAGTTGTCAAGGCAACTGAGCCTCTGGGGAACAAAGCGTAGAGACCTGGGTTATAGTGTTATGTCCTCTGAGGTCGGGGCCCCAGTCAGTCTTGAAGGGGGGCAGGGTGGGAAACAGAGAGGAGGAGGACAAAGTGGGTGCAGCCCTTCATTGTGATGGCTGTAGTAGTAGGCGGCCACTGCGTTTCATAAGCACCTCCAACTACAACAAGCTTACTTTAAACATGTTTCACAAAAAATATAATTTTGGTTCAGCTGTAACCAACAGTTATTTTTCATTATTGATTACTTTGCCAATTGTCAGAAAGAAGTGGAAAATGCTCATAATTTTCCATATTTATTAGCTAGTTTTATCTGACCAAAATTCCCAAACCCACAAATATTCAATTTAATATAATAAATAACCAAAAAGATCTTGCAAAATTTGTAAAAATTTGCATTTGAGAAGCTTGTACCAGTGGATTTCCGGCATTTTTTCTCAAGACAGTAATTAAACAATGATTTGATGAATATTATCAATTAATCATTTCAGTTTCATTTTTTCATCATCATTTCATCATTTTCAATTTTCAATTTAATTTTAAATTGCAGAGGAAATCGAATTAACAATGACAATGTGAATGGAAGGTTATCAAATGACAACAAAGAATATGTTAAAATAGTTGTTTTAAGTTTTTAGATTATTACAATAATGTACCCCTTTGTCTAAATGTAAGATTTTACACGTTAGAAAAACATAAAAGGTGAAAATTTAAAAGCAACAATAAAGGAACTTTCTTTATATAATAAATAGCAAGTCTTTTCAGGTATTTAATTAATTAAAACTGCAGCTTTAGAATGTAATTTAAGTTATTTTCTGTAGTAAAACTTGGTGTTTAAGTAGCCTATTACAGACGAGAAGGACAGGCCTGATGTGTAAGCAGATGTGTTTATGTCGAAGCATCATGTGTGTGAAAGAAAACATCTTACCAACTGCAGACAACACAGCAGGATCAACATGCATCGTGCCGAGCAGCACCCCATCTTCTCCTCTCAGTTCCCACTGAATCCTATGATGATGATGATGATGATGATGATGATGATGATGATGATGATTATGATGATGTGAATAACAACTGTGAAGTGAGTGGGTTTTAAAATTTCCTCAAACACAAGGACTAAACCTGCGGAGCTTCAGATCCATTGCCAGACGTGTGAGGAAACGCACAGTGCACTTCTACCTCATGAGGGAAACACGTAGGCTGTCCCTGTGTGGAAACTACGGAGAAGGGGGAGGGTCGGCTGTATGAGGAGTGATTAGTGCCACAAAGCAAATGAGGGGGAAACCCTGAAGGACAAAGTCAGCCTCAGGATGCTGTGAGGCTTTTTTTTTAAAAATGGGCGCATCAGTGAAATTTCAGGAGCTGTTAGGACTTCAGGCCAGGTTTCCTTCCAATTCAATTTCCATTAAATTTGCAAGAGAAAATGCAAATTAATGTGCATTTCCATCCACTACTGATAAGTGAATATTAAGAGTTGATCAAGATAAACAGCTGGTGACACTAATTCTCCAGTCTGGTGTTGCAGAGGAGGAGGGAGCAATGAGATGATGCAATTAAAGGAGCACCAACCAAAACTTCAAATGGATCATTCCTGTGTTTTTGTCAGATTGTAATAATCAATCAAATAATCCTTTTATGGCAAAAATCATTTAATCTTAATTTTGTGAACGATAAATGAATTTGACATGGGTAACAGGAATGAGAGTTGACCCATCCATCCGACCCTTGACCTCCTCATTCTGTGGAGCATCATAATTCTTCCTCTTTTGCTTATAATATGTGTCATTTTGTTCAATTACCTGAAACAACTGATGCTGTCAATCGATTATAACCCTTCAAAAGGACCAATAGGATGTCATATAAATCCTGTTTCTCCCTCACTGTGGCATGGATTGACCCTCATACAGCAACACCGTCGTCTGCACCCTGATAGGTGGTTGTTGTTGCACAATGCTCCAAAGACACCAGTAGGTGGTGGTAGTGGTGGAGTTACAGGCTTCAAAGGTGTGTGAGAGTGACAAGGTTAAAACAAGAAAAAGAAAAGAAAAAGACATTACTGCTCTACTTTAGAGTAGGTTATTGATGACTGAAGATTTTTATATTGATCTTGATGTGAAACCTGTTCATACAATGCAATTTGACTTGGAACTCACTCCTGTATTCAAATGAATGAAGGCTCATACCAACGGCTTGACCTGTTATTATGTTGTTATGTTCTGGGTCAGCGAATAGATGGTGTCACACATCAAGCATGTATTTCAGAAAATCTCCCCAGGAATGAAAGAGTTATTTAAAAAAAAAAAACACACACAGTTTCTTCTTTTGCAGCACACTCCACACCACTTGTCATCACTGAGTCTTCAAATCACAGTAAACTACAGTCTAAATGGCTATTATCTGCCTCTCAAATTAACCAGAGCGCACGTGCACCTTTAGCACGGACTGAGAAATCCTCCTGAACCGGAGTCAGTCCATTCATTAGGCGGGAGAGCCGCACTACCTCGTCCTTCCGAGGGATGACGCTAGAATCAAAAGACTAATTCATAATTGGGGGGTCTCCAGCTTTGCCTGTGTCACATGGAAGCACAGTAGCTGAGCCGAGGGGATGCGAGTAGAGATGGAGGGGGCTTGAGGGACTGTGGAGGAGAAAACCTGGCACTTGGAGATAATAGTGGAGATACAGCAGCGGCGGCAGCAGCAGCAGCAGCAGCAGCAGCAGCAGAAGAAGAAGACAGGCAGGCAGGTTAGACACTTCCCAGCCTCCACTCCTGGCTGGCTGTGGAGCAGAGGAGCGCGGACAGGGCGCACAAGGGGGTCAGCGGGCGCTCAGAGGGGGCCACATGCAATATGCTGCATCCCTGTTTGGTGAAGCCCAAGAAGAAAGCCAAGTTGTCGCATTTGATTGATTATGCTCGCGGGGAGCGGCTGGTCCGAGTGGAAGCAGAAACTGAAGAAAGCGACCGGGGTTGACGCTGTGCCTCCCCAAATCTCTGAGCTGAGTGAGTACAGGGGATGCTATAGCGCAATGCTCTGTGCCCGTGGCTATGTGACAGGCTGGAGGGAGGAAGGAAGGGAGGGAGGGAGGGATGGGAAGTGGTGGTGGGGGGGTCATTCATATGTGCCTATAGATTGAGCTCGATAAGCCGCACACGCACTTTCCTTTATTCATCCAGGAAATGTAGCCCAGCGCATCGCCTGTTTTCCTTTGTGTTCGCCCTGCCTTTTTCTCCATCTCCACCGGTCATACATTTAACACACACAGACACGTGTGCACCCACCTCAGCGTTACTGCATTGCCTTTTGTGATTTAAGCCCCAAATGAACGGATTCATCAGAGAACTTCATTGTGATTTGCTGAGAGGAGGGCGCAGGGAGCCTCCAGTCACGCGTTTTTCCTGTGTAATATCCCCGCCGACTGCGAAGCATAAAGATAATTAACGTTAGACCCTCCGTTAACATTTGCAGCCCCCCCCCTCCTCCTCCCTGCCTCCCTGCCTCCCTCTCCTCACTCATAAATAGGGGGTGTGGGGAACTGGCTTTGTCGTGTAAGTTGCCAGCTGACCTCAGGGACACAACATCCTTTACCATCCTCACTTTGATCTGGAAATGAATCGGAAACGCTTTGATGATTAGAGGAGAAGAAAAGAAGGGGGGAAAATCTCCCGCGCTACAGGCTTTAATGAAACAAAACCGTAATAGAAAAAAAAAGCACACTGCATCAGCCTGAAATTTTTCATTTTCTGTGGCAGCCTATGGCCTCTACCTGCACGGGCAATTCCCCCCCCCCCCCCCAAAAAATGTCCCCGTTCACACCCTGCACCCTGGTTTTCTGAGTCAGCCGGCATCCTTTGAGTCGTGGTTTGCTTTCTAACCTGTTGTCACCAGCATCAAGCATCACTGCAGTTTGAGGTGTCAGGGCCCAGAGGCGCGGCGAGCCGAGCCCGGACACCCAGCAACCGAACCGTCACCCAGTGTGTGACTGATGCCTGCTGAGCCCCCAGCCTCCACCATGAGCCCCTCATGTAGTGGAGAGGATCTCTTTATTTCAGTGTAGGGTGATAGCTAAAGCCTCCTATACCCACAATCTAGAAAAAAAAAAAAAACATGATGCTGATGTTTCCTCTCTAAGCGCCCTCAGTTTGCCACAGCTGCTGGAAAAGGATGCGAATCATGTGATCACACACAGAAATTGTAATTATTATTTCATTTGCTTTGGATAAATAATGTCAGACGTTGTGTTTGTATGTGAGGCAGCCTTGCACAGATAAAGACAGAGCCTCTTCCACACAGGCTTCAGCTTTCTTCCTCACAGGGGCATGGTTAATCGTTGTTGCAAGCAAACATTTGACCTAATTCACATTCTCACACAATAGCATGCACGACCACGCCACACCTTCTTACACACCCCCCTTTCTCTCTCTCTCTTCTCTAAACGTCACGAACACCACACACACACAACACACATATGCTGTATTGTGTGTCACACAGAGAGGTGGAGGTTTCTTGCTTCGCATGAACTCCCAGGTGGTTTATCAAAACCTGAGCAGATTGGCAGAGAGGCCACTGCTGGCTGGCTGGGCTTGTTTGAGAGGAGCTCCAGTATTATTAATAATGAACACACATGTAAATGCAAGGCATGTTCCTAGAAAATTAAAAGCCTACTACTGGTATTGATTTGTGGGCTAAATGTGTTCCTTAAAAATGTATTTTTATGAGCATTACACCATAGACTCCTTATTTGACTTTATGGCCTTGTCATGTGCCATAAGCAGAAAGTATGCACATTTTCTTCATTGTTTGAAGCTGTTAGAATATGAGCATTTGTTTTGTATAATTATGTTTTGTTTTGTTTTTTGTCAAATGTTACCTCTAAAATAGGATTTATGAGGATTTCACTGTGGCACTGTGGCCCCAATGTGTCACTTGGCATGTTTCTCTCCTCCTTTAAAAACGTTTAATTGTTGAAATTAGATCCAAGTCAACAGGTGATCTGCCTTTGTTATTCATTCACTTATCTAGTACTGCAGCTAACAGGGATTTTCCTGATTGATCAATTAATCTTAAAGTCTATGAAACAAAAGAGAACAGTAAAAAGAACTATCTCGTTCCATCAACAGATTTTCAGTGTTAAGCGATAAGACAAGGACACTGAGAAAACCCTCACATCTGAGAGACCTGGATCCGTCAAAACGTTTGACTGTCTTGCTTTAAAAATGGCAATGACAACATTGATCCGACTTATAGTTGATCGCGGCTAATCGTTGAAGGCTCCACAGCCATCCACCCGTCGTGGACCTGAACTATCATCCATTCATTCATTTCCATAGATCATTCATTCCTTCACCTGTGCCAAAAGCATTCTGTGGCAATTAGTTCATGAAATCAATTAGAGTCAGATCAAGGTTAACAGGAAAGTGATCACTAACTGTTTGAATGATCGGTGTTTGAAGTAAAAAGACAAACATTCCTCACCTCCGGTTGGTAGATTGTGAGATTTGCTTGCTTTTCTTTGGTCGTATGTCCAAGTGAATTTAGTATTTTTTTAATATTTGATACTGTTGGTCGAGAAAAAAAGCGAGCAGTTTGATGTCACTATGCCCTGTTCGCGTAAATAGGAAAGTAATGATTGTTTTGGTCTCTGGTGGCCTATTAATTCGGACCAATAACGACTCATTGTTATTATTTATCAAGAGGACAATAAGTTTGCGGATTGAAATTGATCTGAAAAAAAGCAATATAGCTGGCAGCTCTACTATAATCTCCATGTGCCGCTGTGTGTCCAACTGACTCAAGAGAGAGAAATAAACAGGACTAATGTGGCAAACATAATTCAGCTCATGGTCCACTTTTTTCTAACTTTGCAGCTTTCAGTCGCACTTACAGGCTTCATTCGTGGTATTTTGTTTACAGGTATCCTGTTTCCAAAGATCAAGAAGTGACTATGGTAATAGATGAACTTGGTAATCTTAAGTCAATCAATGA